GGTTACTGACAGCAGCGCAGATCACAGCAACTGAACATCGAGCTCATCGTCTCGTAAAGAGAAACAGGAACTTGTAAAGCATAGCACAAACTGGCAAATTTGAGTCCTACAAAATACTGTTTGAGCAAACTGGGTTTTCTTTTTAGTTGTAATGGCATCAGTTTCACGTGGACCCTGTGTCATGTTGGAGTGAGGCTTGGAGAGCAGCCACAAGTCTGCTGTATGCAGGCTGTTGGTTACTAATTTGATGTGAAGCAGCTTTTTGCAAGTCAAATAATGCAAGGCCTACTCAGTGTAGGTAAAGTACATTTTTTTCCACCCAAATGTGGGTTGGAAATGCAAAATCTCTCAAGGCTGCTGGTGATGCTGGAACATATTTTTTCAGAGATGACGCATCAGCCTCCAAGTCAAAGAAATGCAGTACACGGTAGTTTCTAGAACCAGATGAAATGCAGCACTTTCTAGTGATGATTTTCTAGAAGTATTTTTAAAATATTATTATATATTGTCATATTCAGTATGTAATTTATCAATACATTCTGTCTGTGCATTGAAGTAGTTTAGCATTTTACATACTGTTATGTTTCTATACTCTAGATTAGATCTGCAAGCCTCTGAGATCGGTCTCTCATAATAAAATCTAGTAGCGTAAGTTCAGATGACCAAAGAAGTGGAGGCCTCGCTGTTCATAGTCTTAGCATGTCATGATTATATGTTTATGCTTTTTTTTTTGTAAAAATAAAGATGCTAAGAGTTCTTCTCCAAATAATATAAGGCATGTGTGTCGCAGTGGTGACTATGTGATGGGTGGCCTGGTGGCTAAAATAGCCTGGTGCTGAAATAAGGTGAAAAAATAAATAGGAAGATGTTTAAAAAGGATTAAAACCTTCAGTATTCAGCAGTGGAGATTTGTTAAATTCTTTGAAATAGGAGCGTCTCCTACTGCAGTGGCATCTGTTCTCTTGGAGACCTGGCCTGTCGTGGGAGTTGAACGGCAGAAAGACCTGTCCCAGCAGTTGGGATTGGGAAGGATCATAGAAGAGGGTATTAAAAAGGCTTTCACCAGGCAGTGTGCTGAAGCCTCACCTGCAAGGTCTGAAGGCACAGAAATTATGCAGGTGGCCACAAACTTGGGCTGATCTGAAATTTCTAGCTTACTTGTTAAATGTGTTATCTCACTCAAACTGACACAAGTTGGTATCTCTGTAAGAAAATTGTACTAGAATTTGGTGGATGTTGTATCAGTCAAGTTCATTTTGGAAAATAATGAAAAAACCACGTATACTCCCTGTTCCTCTCATGCATCTACCACTGGGTGTGCTTCTGTAAGTGCTCAGTAAATCACTCCTGTGCACAGTTCTTTTTTTCTAAAGATTATTTCATTTTCCAGATCTGTTCATGTTTATGCTGCATTTCAGTTTCATGTGTTGTGCTCTGATTTAGTTTTGATTTTACTCATTGACAAGCTTGTCAGACTTCCCTGTGTGCATTTAGTATATGTAGTGACTGAGAATATATTTATACAAATAATTCCAAAATACAGAAACAATTTTTTTAATCTGTAAGTGGCATTATTATTCACATTTATCAATGCTGAATGTTTCTAACTTCAGATTTTCTGCTGTTATTTTCTGCCTTTTTGGCACACTTCAGTCATACGGCCGGCTGCAAAAAGCAGTAACATAATTTAATTATCAAATTAATGTGAAATAATAGTCATGGAAGATTACACTTCTGGCAGTGCACTTCCATGCTAACTGATCCATAATCCTTGAAGAGGCTCAAACACTAAAAAAAAATTTAAAAACATTTTTTATTTGCATCTGTTTGTTCCATATCCCATGTAATGGGTAAATAGCTGCCTGTGGAAATGGCTAGTGTCAGCATTAAGCCATAACTGAGAAATATTTTTCCTTTTATTGGACACATTCCCAAGCTTCCCGATACTTTTCCGTCTCCTCCTAGTGCCAAGCCATAACCTAGATGGGCCCAAAAATGTGGTGTAATGGGTCCAGTCTGGTGCTCTTAGTCCAAATTACAGTCTTGACTGGCCGAGTTAATAAAATATGCATGATGAGGGAGTGAAAAGCTGCTTCCCAAATGAAACGCTGCGATTTTAAAACACAAATGTCTGAGCCACTTCAGCTGTCTTTCAGCCCCTGCTTAATGCAGTCCTTGAAGTAGTGACAGCTCTGTGTCTGCACATACAAAACCACACAACATTGGCCTTTTTCAGTCTTGGAGAGGAGGGAGGGAAGGGGCTGGCTGTGGCATGAGCCTTAGGGGGGTCATCATAAGCTCTAAGCTACTTCAATTTTGGCCTTCAACAACCACACAGAGGATGTTTTCTCCTGTGTCACGGCCGTCTACAGCCACCTTGGAGGGGCAGGAGGAAATGTGTGTGGTAAAACCCAGACAGGAGGATGTGGCTAAGTGTGGAGGACCGGGATATCCTAAAGAACTTGAGAGCCTTGAGGTTTGAAGTAGTAAGCGCTCTTACTCTGAGAAAGAAGTCATGTTGTAAACTTGGGAAGGCGACAGACACACGTGCTTCAGGGAGGAGGGTTCGGATTTACGCGTTAGCCAAAGGATCAGCTGCAGCGTGACGATGGCTGTGCAGAAACTTCACACGTCGTGTGAGACTTCATCAGGAGAGATTTCCAGTTCATACTGCTGCCACTGGTGGGGATACAGCACGGTGGGGAGAGAGACCTTAGAGTCGACCTTAAACTTCTTTAAGGGCAGGGGAGAAGTGTTAGTGATTGAGGGGGTAAAGGGCATCATCTCAGATGAGACTGGAAGGACCAGGCTTGTGAAGCCTACCCAATAAAATGCTGAGAGGGGATATGATCATTGTCTATAAATAGAGTTGGATTGTAAACACCATGGAGAGAAAGCACAGTTTAAGCAAATGGCCAAAGCTGGCGCCAGAACTCGTAGTTACAAGCTGGGCTGTGAATAAATGGAAGCTGAAATTAGACATCTCCCTATCACTGGAGCTGTGAGGTTTTGGAACAATTTTCTTTTAGGAAACAATGGGAGAAGAAAAACCTGAGGGCATTTTAAGTTGGCATTCAGGTTGTAAATGGGAATGTTTCTTGTGCAGACTGCCCAAGGCATGGGCTTTGACTTGGTCCATACCAACTGAAATGTCGCTGTAGAAGCAAAGCCAATAAACTCTCTTGGTTTTCTGTTAACCCTGTGTAACTGCCCGAGGAAGCACGTTCTGATGAGTGCAGTCTTCCTGGCTGGTGACTGCTGGATGTAATCTCCAAAGGACTTGTTTGTACCATTAAAATCAAGGAGTTTTGTGTGTATAATCGTTTATAAGATCAGAGCCTACAGCTGTTCTTTGAATTATGTTGAAGCTGCATTCTTTAAGGATGTGTTAATTTCAAATTTTTTTGCAGTTCTTACTCTTACAAGTAAATCCAAATTCTGCTCAAAGGATCCTGGTCTTTCTTTTACTTAGAACTGGTGTTACCAATCCAGAAATACCTCTTGAAGTAGCATAAATCATTTTGTGAAGTATTCGGTAAGAAGCAGGTTTTTTCTCATTTTCATGGAGTTTGTTATTATTTTCTTATAATTTTTTCTTCACGTATTTTAATTTTAAAAAGAAATGCTGCTGGTCTCGAGTTCCAACAGTCGTGATTCTCTGTGTGTGAGATGTGTTTTGCTGCAAGAGAGTTTTTAAAATAATTTCAGTTGATGTTGATTACTGTTGCTGATCTTGCAGCACCCTAGAAAATGCTCATGTGAGCAGAAATAACTCAGGTGACAGAATCCGTACACGTACCAGACCAAAAAGTGTGTCAAAGAAGCAATTTAGAGCCTCTGCAGAGCTCTGATATGAAGTGCGTCGCAGGAACCTCTTGAAGTCATGACAGCTACGTAGATATTGAAGTGATCTCTGTGTGTGTATCTCGTGGAGCGATTAGGATAACAGATACTGCATTGAAGGTGGAAACAGAAGTGTTTTGAAGAAGTGAAGATGTCCAATTTGCATATAAGGAGAGGAGGATATTTTCTGTTCTCTCAGCAATAAACTTTGTGTCAGTGATGTGCCGTGCAGTGTCACTGTTGGGTAGCACAATTCAAAACTGCTGGGCATGATGTGCTGGGCTCTCTTCCACTTCTCCACACCCCTTCCTCTTACCCTTTCTTGAGTAGGTTGGATGCACTCTTCACATAATTTGAAGATACCCAGACCCTGTCAGTTTATTTTTGCCTTTTTTGGTGCTCTCTTACACAAGGTTTTTTTTTCCTTTTGCAACTTTTGCTTTGGTATAATGACTTACTTCTTAGAGGCGCTATTTTTTCTGAATAACTTCTAGTTTGGTTTCTGTTACAGCTATTTATGACATCCAGTTTTCCATCAGTGAGAGTGAGTTGCAGTGTCAATAAACTAAAGACAAATGCTTGGTTGTTGTGTATGAATTGACAGATTTCAGTCAGTGTTGTCTGAGGGTTTTGTCACAATTATTGAATGTTTTCTATTCAGGTATCAAGTGGTTCAGCAGCGCAGTGAATGCCAGTACCACTGTGTGTGTGGGGAAGAGATACTGCTCTGTGACTCCATTCAAAACTGAATGTCAGCTGCCAAAGCATAAAAACATAAAAATACTCTTTAAAGTGAGTGCTTGCTCCCATGTTGTGCTTCATCTGCCATGTGCAGATGCGGTCCAGTGATGCTTGCACTTCGGGCTGGATATTGCAGAGCATCTCCTGTGAAATGAGATGAGTTTTCCCTCTTAATAAGAACACAAATACAGGTCACTTAGTTCTTCTAAAGCCATTCGCATCATGCTAGAATGGATACATGAGATCAGAAAGACTAATAAGAGGCTGGAAGATACTTGGAAAAATGACCTTTAAAACAAAAGACCTGGATTTAATGCTTTTACAGTCTTTTTATGCCTGAAAATATGTATGTGTAATTAAGCTGAGATCCTGTGCAAGAAAAATAATAAGTGTTTTTCCTTTTGTTTTATTTCTAGGTACTAAATGAAGCGGTGGGTGCACTGATGTATCACACTATCACTTTAACACGAGAAGACTTGGAGAAATTTAAAGCACTTCGAATAATTGTCCGAATTGGCAGTGGTTTTGATAATATTGACATCAAATCTGCTGGAGATTTAGGTATGACTGTTAAGGACGTTATTTCGCATCGTATACTTGCCTCCAGAAAATCTGATAGCATCTAAGTCTTTGTATTCGTATTCTCTGTGTAATTTATACTAACATAGAATATAAGATGCATAATTTTTTCATCAAAGTGTTTATAAATCATTATGGAGATGCTAGCATTAGTTAATTAAGTGATAACATTAACAGCTTTGTGGCAGGATGAGAGTGCACCTCTTCAGTATAAATCCAGGGAGTAAGGCCGTAATTTTTGATCTCTTTTCTTTTTTACCCCAGTTGTATATTTTAACTACTGCTGCTGTAATCCAATCACAAAACATCATTCCGTCAGCGTGGCGCACTGCTTCTGTTTGAATGAAAAATGGCATCGATATCAACTGCCTGAGAATTACTTACGGTGCATGAGATTTAGTGTTAAACCACTCCATAAAACAGAAATACCCATTTTTATAGGAAAATCAGTTCTTGCTACTTCAGAATAAATTCGGATACTGAAACTATGAAGCAATGGTGCTTAGTCTTTCACTAGAAAAAAGCAGCAACCTGATTTGTGCTCTTCTTACTTTAGGATAAAGCATCTCTTATAAATTATCTACAGGTCAAACTAGCACTCAGAATAAATGTCTACCTTTTTTTCGTTTCTCTTCTAAGATTGAGGTGGCCAAGTATGTTTCCCATTATGCTCTGGTAAGCTATTGGAAACATTTATTTCAGTGTGGCAGTGCTTAGTCCTTGTAACAACCTCATTGATGTAGCAAGGAGCTACAATATGGTCTGTTTATCAGTATTAGTAAAACAATCGCCTTTTTCTAATGGCTGTGAAGTTTGCACAGAAAGCAGAGGCTAACAACTTCTTGGTGAGTTTCTATAAAGGACAGATCAAGTTTGAAAGTGTGCAAGACTGCATTCCTGTGTTCAGTGCTGGATTTGAGTGCCTGCGTTGTGAGCCCCAGAAATGGTGTACGTATGTAGAGGTTGACCTGGGGTAAATCCTAGCTCAGAAGCCAAAAGCTAGGTACAGATCAAAGGCCCCAACCAGTCAGGTGTCCGATTTGTGCAGAGAATCCCAGATAAGAGGAAAATCTTTGCAGGTTTTTTGACTGTTTCTGCAAGTCTACGTGCTGGATGGTGACTCAAACTTAGCATTTAAATGCATCCACATAATTTTTCAAGCTGGATATGGGAAATTCTCATTCGTTTTAACTGCTAAATGGCCATGTTAATCAGTAAATGGCCATCCTAATTAATCAGTTCCCATTATGTGATTAGACTAAGTTAGACAGTTAGGATCCATCCTGTTTGTGCATTCAGATATCTACAAAATTTAATTGTCTGCTCTGTCCACTAAAGGCTGAAGGCTTGCAGTGGAGCTGGCTGGTGGGGTTGTTACCAGCTTTTACTGTTAAGTATTATTTTTGTGCTAGCACTCTTCTTAAATTGCATGAAAACAGATGTTTCTTGGATAAAATCTTCAAGATCTGATCTACTTTTTCTTCAGTTCATCAGTTGTTGACTGGAAAATATATACAAGTTGTGAGTGTAGCTGGATGAAGGGAAGTGAGAGTCAGGATTGATGCCCGTTGACTCCTGAGTTTTTCAGCACTGAACTTAGGCACAAGACCACTGGAAGTGGTGGGAAAAGGGGAAGAGAAGAGAGCACAGAAGTGATGGATATGAGATAAGAGTGTGCTGCCATTTCCTGTGTGAAATGTCTTTTCATATCCTCGTGTCTCTTGCTGCTTTTTTGTGGTTCACCATGTCTCTGCCTTTCAGAAATTAGCTGCTTTTAAAGCTAGGGAGGAAAATAGGGGAAAATAAATTCTTACAATATAGGAGAGAAATTCTGACTCTTCTCCCCCAAATTTCCTAAGGAAACCTGTTAGGGAGGAAGGTACAATAAGGTGAGTTCAGTTCCTTATTTCTCTTCCCAAATATGTAATATCACTTCTTACGCTCCTTTTAAAACACCATTTTGTTGATGCCAGCTATCAGCAGACATGCTTATTAAATTTGTTTTGCCATCTAAAACCTGCATTTTTGCTCCATGAAAAAATACTTTTTGTATAAACAGAGGAAGCTGTTGAATATGATGCACTTAAAGGGATGTTACTTTTCAGACTTGTGCTTCTCCCCTCGCTTGCATTTTTCCCCTTATTTTTAAAAAATGGTGGGTTATGAAATGCTACCAGTGATGTTAGCAGGATGCCAGGATTAATATTCCAGCAAATGATGCTGTTTTCTCTCTGTGTAAGTCAAAGAGCAGTGACTCAGCAGACACTCCACAGCAGAGAAATGAAAAGTAGTTCTGCAGGCTCCTTATGTTGGTTTGTACTGACCTAAAGCAAGCTGTAAAAAAGTACTGGGCAGCAGAATAAAGGCATTCGAACATAAAACATAGATAAGTGTGGCATGAGGTTATTATTTGTCAGATTATTGTTATTACTGTTATTGAAGGGAATGCTTTTTCTCCCTTGCTTTGTAAGACACACTGGCGTTAGCTGAGGACTCATTGCATATTTATTTATGTAAAAACCCAAACAACTAGACAGTGAAAACAGTATTAGAGTGTTTTTTAGTATACAAAACACTTTTTTTGCCTCCACCATGAAATTATACTGTTTGTGATCTCAGTCAGCAGAACTGAGAGACAAACATTTGTGGGAGCTGATGATTAGAGAGAAAACATGTAGTAAATGGAGTGCATGGAGAGAACGCAAAAAGGACACAAACTTTTCAAGTAAACATCTTGCTTAACTGCTGTACATTGAGTGCTGGAAGGTAGAAAGCGGAATGGGATAAATTGCATGCAATTACAAGCACTTGTTGCCTGAACTAGAAAAGGAATACGGGGAGTCTTGAATCAGTCGTCTGTGGAAATCTGCGGTGGTCTTTTAGATTATGCCTTTTTCAGTGAGTAACATTTCAGCTATTAGGAACATGGACCTAATTTGCACTATCTTTACACACCATGCAGAAGCAGATTTTTTTATTTCGCTGTTGACAGTAAGATGAGTTATCCCTTTCAATTTAGGGCACCAGGAAAGGTCTTGGGTTCTGTTTGTCATAATTCTACAAACCCATGTGCAACAAAAAGCAAATTGCCCCTCCCTGTGTCACGATTACCCATACATGAATTGGAAATGCTAATAGTCTGTAAGAGTTGCTGTCATTATAAATGAATAGATAGCTTTTGGGAAGATATCTGCTCAGCGATGGAAAGCTAACTCATGCAATTAATTCTGAACAGTGTTCGTTAACCACAAGGCAAAGCAGATTCGTCTTTGCTGTTCAAAACACCTAGCTCAATGTGCATGTAACATGCTTACCAAGACTTGTGTTCTGAACTACCTGACGTCTTCAGTACTTTCCTTTTGTGGTTTCAGTGGTCTGTTTACTGTTTGCCTTAGTTTGCAAACACAATAAATAGTAATAACAAATGAGAAAAAGATACGTTTACACATATTAATCAAGTGTTATGTCAAGTATTCTGTTTGCTGTTACAGTCAGAACCATAGTATTTGTGCAAAACAGGTGTTGAAATATCTGTAAATTTAAACATCATACTCCTGAATTGCTGTTAAGTGAGAATAAGAAATGTTTGGCAACTGCTGTCCTTTCCCCCGTTCTCTGCAGGGATCGCCGTGTGTAATGTGCCAGCTGCCTCAGTAGAAGAAACAGCAGATTCTACCATGTGCCACATTCTGAACCTGTACAGGCGAACCACCTGGCTTCACCAGGCCTTGCGAGAAGGCACGAGAGTACAGAGCGTTGAACAGATTCGGGAAGTGGCTTCTGGAGCTGCCAGAATCAGAGGGGAGACCTTGGGCATTATTGGATTAGGTATGTTGGCTTGGAGAGGTGGTTTGATACTCCTTGTCCTCTGTTGCTTTAGAAAAATAGGAAAATTTGAGCTATAGAAACACTTAGTTCACACCTTTCCATGTCAAACATTCTGTATAATATCACATTATTCCTCGTGTTTGTATGTGTCAGATGTTTTCCCCTTATGTATCATCATTTCCCTCAGACAACTTGTTTTTTGGCTGATATTCTCTCAATTCTTTGAGTTTCTGTACATCTTTCTGCTGCTGTTTTGCCCGGAGTTAGGCACACTGGTTGTGGGAGGAGGAGACACCATCACTCCCCTTTTCCAGGACAAGAAAAGGTTCTGCTACTTCAACCTGGTGTCCCATATATGTGTTCTGTTTCTTGTCCGTTATCATATCGGGGTCTGTGCTGTTTTCCTTTTACTGGTTTTAGCATATCTGAAAAATCTTTGCTGCAGTAACAGCCCGCAGAGCAGTTATTTCATCCATTTGGTTGAGCTGCATCTGAATTTGTATTTCAGCTCAAATGAGAGGAAAAACATATGCAAGAAAATTTGAAATGTTTCCAGACCTAATAAAATCACCTACTTACCTCTCTGAAGGGCCCTAAATGTGTTTCAGCATCTAACAGATGGACAGGCTTGCTTGAGATGAATTAATTACTGTCTGTTACAGAAGCAGAGAAGAAAAACAAGCAAGTCAGTTTCTATATAAAAATTATTCGGTCATGTGCTTGTCTTATCAGAGAACTGATAGATTGTGGATGTAATTGCTGTGGTATTCATCCACAGGAATTAATAATGCGATTTTGACAACAAAGCATCACACTTAAATGACTGTTCCAGTTACACATCGCTGTCAAATAACTCAAGCCACGAACTCTTAGTTTTGGAAGCTGAAAATAGCCTGGCATTACATAGTACTCATTTAAATGAGTATGCAAGGCAGCAAAAACATCTTCACAGTCGAAGAATTGCCTTTAAAGAATTACTTTCAAGAAGTTAGTCATGACGTTGCTTTCTCAGTTCTGTGCCCGTGGAATTACCCACCTCGTTTAAGCACACAACGATTATTGCACTCACAGTCACGGTGTCTGTATGTGTATAATAGACAATCACCTGCAGTGTTGTAAAAATGGGTATGCACGCCTAGTTTTTGAAACCTGAGCTTTGGCTCACGTGCTGTGTGTGCATTTGCTGGAGAGATCCGCCCTGTTGGCGTTAGGTTTTTTTATACTGCATATATTCAGACTGAGGGTAGAATCAAATGTCATTTATTTTTGACTTTAAGTGAATTTTGTGTGTGTTTTTGTTGTGAATGATTCAAAGATGTAGAGAAACAAATGGATAATCAGATTGCCAGTATGTGTGTAAAGCTACGTAAAGAGCTCGTTTTTAATTTTATTTTTAAAAATCAAGCCTTTAGTGTGCATGGTTTATTAAAAGGCTAGAAAAACCTGATTTTAAAGGTACACATCTGTTATAGTTATTAAACAGTAATTTTTCTTTTCCTTTTATTGTTCCTATTCCCTTCTACAACAGAATATTGACAATTTCAGGGAAAATTAAGTTTTAAAGTCAGTTTTGAAGCCTTTTACTGTCTCTTTTTGTGCGTGTGGGTGTTAATAGACACAACACTTTGACCTGTTCTAACAAACACCTTTGTAGCTGTGTATTAATGGAGATTTGGAAATAGGGCTGTACTAGGCTTTACATTTGAGCACTTCAGGTGCTTAGGCTGTGATATGTGCACTTTCCTATCACAGGTCACTGCAAGAGGCTCCCTGTCTCTAGTTTTGAACTAAAATGTGTATTTAAAACCACCTTCAATAGACTCATGCCCTCAGGTTGTTTCTCTTACTAGTGGCCTCTTCCCACATCTGTAGATTTGTCTCAATTCACTATTTTATTATTTAGACATGTGAACATCAGAAGTGATGAACCACCAAAAGGCTATGAAGTGAATGTATTGCACAGAAAGAGTTCTCATCTGTTATTTTCTCTGGGTGTGCATAGTATTGCTGTTTCTGTCCTTTCTCTTTAGTATGTATCTGAGATCATCTCATCTCTCAACCACAGCCACGTTTCTCTATTCTTGTCTTAGACTTGTGGTCTGTTCAG